TCCACTGTAGTTTCTATGGACGGAAAAGAGCAGATACGGATTAAATGGTTTTCAATGCATTCCTATGGGAAATGCAGATTCAACATAAGAATTTTTCAACTTGAGAACCACCTTCCGATATGGATTAAGTTCTCAAAGCAAGACCCCACTGTAGACCTTTCAACCAGTTCAGTGTAGGATATGTGATTTGTGCATAGTTCAGCCTCCCATGTCATTGCGTCATTGGATAAGAAAGGTGCCTCAATTGCAATTTTGTTAAAAAAGTTTTATCCTGTCTTTCTTTCCGAAAGAAAGCGAAGGCATTTGATGAAAATGAAATACAAAAAATACAATACCAAAGGAAGCAGCAAAAAGGAAAATCCCCTGTTAAATGTGGTATCATTATAAACATCCCCAAGGAAAGAGGAAAAAATAGAGAAAGGATAGCGACAAGACAGTCCAGTGATGAATCACTAACATCACATAATTTGTCATAAAGAACCTTGCACATTTCAAATGAAATGAAAAATTAAACAATGAATCCTGAAATTTGGTTGCATAAACAATAGGGTTATAGCCATGCAATAAAATCAAAACTGAGATGACTAAGAACAGCTTATTTAATATACAGAAAATGTAGTATGGAGCAAAAGCTCAAAATCTGACAGTGAACATGATACATAGCACTATGTATGCTTTGTCCTACTGTGTGGCATAGAATTCTGCACTTTGACAGAGGCCACTAGAAAAAAAGACAGAAGCATTTGAAATGTGGATTTATCAGAATATGTTAAAGAATTTTTGTGGACTGAGGAAGTGAGCAATGAATAAAGACAAAAAAAAATCATAGACATAAAACGAAAGAACACAGACAAATTCAGTCATGTCATAAAACGAAAGAAGACAGACAAATTTAGTCATGTGATAAAAAAGTAAAGATGCTAATAGATAAGGAAAAGGTAAAATAAATGCAGTCAGCCTCTGGTGATATTAGAGGCAAAGAAACTATTACAATAACCATGCAATAAATAGAGGAGAACAACAAAAGTGGGGAGGGAAGAAATCTCTTACACAAGATCCAAAAAAGAAATTTAAATTTAAATCAAGGTTAGAAATGCTGATGACCAACAGGGGAGCACGTTATCTAACTGGGAGAAACTAAAGACATGCAAACGGTATACTGAATATGCATCAGGGACAAAAGGATCACAAAATACTTTGAAGAGGAATCTTTCGATGAAGAATCTGCAGTTCTAGAAAATGAAGTGAAAGCTGCTGTGAAAACAGTAGGAAAACATAAATCACCAGGAATAGATGGAATACCACTAGAACTATTTCAAGCCATGGGGACTGAATCTGTCAACATCCTAAAAAGAATATTTTGACAAATGTGCTGGAAAAGGATAAAGACAGCAGGAAAGGTGGAAGACCAAATACGAGATAGATCACCATAGGCTTGAGTTTGCAAGAGCTCAGCAAGGCTGTTGAGGATAGAACATTTGGGGGATATTGGAGGTGACTTAGCAGCATGTGACAACAAAAACAATTGGTAGGAGAGGATCTAGAAGAAGAAACAATGAAGAAATGAGACATTCAGCAGCTACCAAGCCTCCTCTCCAAAGGTCTTATCTTGTATATTGACTGGGCAGACTTCTGTTCTAAGACTGAAATGCCTAAATGGGAGTGAGACCAACTCTTTATATGATTTACACGTACATCAGAAGTGACAGAACGGCATAATTAATCAACTTTTGGAATTCCTTTGTATTGTTTGTTTGTGTTTGTTTGTTTGTTTATTTATTTATTTATTTATTTATTTGAATTTATTTATTATTTGCATTCATAACCAGGACACTTTGTTCCATACCAACATTATTTGTGCCATTTGTGAACTGAGCCATAGCTGTCCAGTGTTCCCCATCATAATTCTCTAGACTGGGAGCAGTTACTTCTTGATAAGCTACTTGATATTTAATAAATAATGGTTACAAGTTGATTATTAAACTCAATTGTTGAGGCTATGCTGATAATTTTTTTTCTCCCTCTCGAGTTTAAATTCACCAGAATTATCTTGTGTAGTTTGCAATCCTTTTACCTTTTTTTTTACTACTTCCATGGCCACTTTACAATTTTTCAATTGCATGCATGAGGAGGAGGGGGCCCACAGCTTCCTTATTTGAACTGTGTGCATGCATGTGTGCAGACCTATGTGCATTATCACTACACAACAGTGCAGTGATG